TGTGTTCACCATCACTGGCCTGGAACTTGAAAGTTTCTTAACACTAAATAAAACAGTGAGTTTTTCTTTCCACTTATGAAGCTTGATCTCTGACCTCATCTTGAAATGATGGAACCTTAAATATGGGGAGTTTCATTTAATCAATTTGTAATTACATGAAAAAATGCAGAATTAAATTTTCATTGAAAAAGTTAAAATTTTCTTTTTTAACCTCCACCATCTGACTCCTATTCACTCTCTTTCTACCTAGATGAAAGCTTTTCGGTTTCCAGTGACTGTGCTTTTAAGAAAACAAGTGTCTGGGCATGGTAGTGCATGTGAACTCTGTGAGTTCAAGGCCAGCCTGGTTTATAAAGTGAGCTCCAGGACAGCCAAGGCTGTTACACAGAGAATCTCTGTCTTGGAAAGGGAAGGGGGGAGGAGAGAAAGGGAGGGGAAGAGAGGGAAAGAAAACAAGTACCTGGCCAGGGTTGTAGTCTAGAGCCCTCCTAGCTGTCCAGGGGATGTATTTGTTCCTTAGTGCTGATTGGGATGGGAAAGAGAGGTAAACAAGCAAATACCATGTTATGACTTGAGAGATCTTTTAGTTGAATTGTATTAAATTTCCCATTTTTCATAGGGTATTAAGAATGTTACCTGCATCATACCATAATCTGTTAATGAGTTCCTGTGTGTTTTGTTTAGAGAAAAAGTAGCCCGTGGTGGCAATGCTGGTTCAGGAGGATTACCAAAATTTTGAGGCCACTCTGGGGTACATAGTTCAGGGTCCCCTTGGTTACAGAGTGAGACCTGGTCTCACTCTGGTTTTTGTTGTTGGAGCCTGCAGACTGTCAACATTAAAGTCTTTGTATGTTGATGCTTTGTAGTTTGTTACCACAGAAACATTTTAACAATTGAAATTCCTCTCCCCCCCCCCAAGACAGGGTTTCTCTGTGGCTTTGGAGGCTGTCCTGGAACTAGCTCTTGTAGACCAGGTTGGTCTTGAACTCATAGAGATCCGCCTGCCTCTGCCTCCCGAGTGCTGGCATTAAAGGCGTGCGCCACCAACATTTTGTATCATTCATTAACGTACAGGAGAGAAAGCTACTATAGATAATGTGTACTAAGGTTCTTTCTTCCTCCAGTGTTGTGACCATGATTAAGAATTAACTATGTAATGTTTGTTTTCAAGGCTATGAAAATGAGCCGGAGATCAGCTGATGCCAGCCAGAGAAGTTTGGCATATAATCGAATAGTTGATGCCCTAACTGAATTCAGGTATTTTACTCCTCACTTTGCCATAATACAGAGCTGTTTTATAATATACATAAGAAGATAATTTATTTACATAGCAAGATAATTTAGCTTGTTTAAACAAGATTTAGTTATTTAAATTTCTTTTTTGTCGTTGGCATTTTCTTCATTTGTTTTTCAGACAGGGTTTCTTTTGCCTCATGGCCATATGAGAGTGTCATCAGTAAGGGAATTATGTTATTAAATTGCATTAGGAAGTTGTTGGGGTTTAGTTCCAATATTAGACCATTTGAGACGCAAATGTGCGAAGAGCTCTGTGTTTGACCAAATGTATGATTTGTTCTCTCAGGATAGGTATAGGTATAGAGTTAGCTCATTTCAAGTGAAACAAGAGAGACTATGTCATAAAGGTGGAAAGCTAGAAACAACTCCTAGAAGTTGTCTTCTGAGCTCCATACATTTTTGTCTACTTCTCTTTCCCTCTTCTTCTTTCTCAATAATGATAAATAATGTTTTAATTAAATGAAAACTTTTACATTCTAAGTGCTGGAGAAGTTTACTGAGACAGGTAATAAAATTTTTGGAGATTTCAAAGAACTTTCTAGAACTATACTACTGAACATGGTCTGTGCTCAAAGTCACATGAGGCTGTTTAATACAACTTAATTCAGTTCCTCAGTCTTGAAACTCATGTTACAATTGTTCTGTTACCACAAGTGGCTATGGCACAGACATTGCTAATAGAGCATTTCTACCCAGGCATAAAACTGAGCTTGAGAATGCTTGTGTAGAGAATAGAACGGAGGATACTGTTGTGTAGTTGTCAGATTTACTTATTTCTAAAACTAAAACTAAAACTTTTACAGATCTGGTTAATATAGTGAATATTCAGGATTTAATTGAATAGATACATACATAAAAGGAAAAGAATTGACAAATATGCTTTGAAGACTTTAGGATAGACTATGTCACAAGACAGCTAGGAAAGCACTATAGTGATTATACAGTTGTCTTTCCTTGTGTTGATCTAAGGAAAAACTGCAGAAAGTCAAGAGACATAAAATGGATCATATGTGTTTGGTGTTCTCATTCTCCTGGAGCTTAGTAATGGCTAGCCTGGTGACCCAAGTAGATGGGGAGCTGTTTTCTTTTGTATGTGCTGATAATTTGCAGTTTAAGTAGAATATATATTTTAGAACTATAGGATAGAAAGGGGCTCTAGAAAATACCTAGAACTATCCTTTGATCTTACAGATAGAAGAAACTGGTGTCCAAAATAGGAAAACAATGTGCTCTAAGAGCACTATTAGTGGGGCAAGGGCCAGCACGAGGGCCAGAGGCAGCACACTTTACCTTCACCTACAGAGTTCACTCCTCATGCTGATAGCTGATGGCAAAGAAGGAAAAGTGAGGTTCATTGACTTCTTGTTTTCTTTCCTCTCTCAGAAGCTCTAACAGTCCAGGTGTGAATTCTCAGCTGGCAGCAAAGCACTTAAGAGTATGTTATTTGGAGAACCATAAATTTTACAATGTGTTTCCTTCTTTTTAGAACAACAATTTGTAATCTTTACACAATGCCAAGAATTGGGGAACCTGTCTGGCTTACAATGATGTCAGGCACTCCAGAAAAGAACCAGCTTTGCCATCGTTTTATGAAGGAATTTACTTTTCTAATGGAAAATGCCTCCAAAAATCAGTATGACTTGCTTTATTTATTTAGTTACATATGTTATTTTGTTATAACTATATATTGCATTGAAAGCAAACTTAATTATAGAATTGGGATAGCTCATTGCCTTTCTAGTTTTCTTTTTTAAAAAATTATTATTTGTTTTATGTGCATCAGTGATTTGTCTTTGTGAGGGTGTTGGATCCTGGAGTTACAGATAGTTTTGAGCTACCATGTGGGTGCTAGGAATTAAATGCAGGTCCTCTGGAAGAACAGACAGTGTCTTAGCTGCTGAGCTATCTCTCCATCCTCCGTAATTATTTCTTATTGGTAACCAACCTATTTTAAGAGGATTCAATGGTGGTATATAGAAGAGCACTACAGAACAAAAAGTAATAAAAATATCTTTATGATTAGTTAAAATTCCTGATATGTTACAGAATTCCCTGAGGATTCTAAACTTCTATTGTGTGAATTGCATTCATTTATGATAGTTTTGTTTCATAAAAAAGTTTAAAAACTGTGAGGACAAATGCAGATTCCAGTGTTAGAATTTTATTTTCTTCAGAGTCACAAGGGAACTTTCCTCAAACACTAATCAAAAGTAGAGATCAGCTGTGCTGCAGTGAGCAGTAGGCTGAGTCAGAGTGCTCGAGGACTTGCTGTTAGACTTATAGTAGGCTATTTTATTCTAGTTTTCTTCTTACTGTTCGTCAAGCCTTTAGGATTCACATGATGATTCAGATGTTTTAACCCTCTTTAATGATAAAGGTTACTTACTATTTTTCCCCACTCAGTAATTTACTGATCTGGAAATTTGAAAATTAAAGACCTGTTCATTGATTCATTAGTGAACTGGGCAGATTAAATACTTGAAATGATTCATAGTTTTAAGTAAAAGGCATTTTTAAAAAATTATAATCCTAAAAATTTCCTTGTTAATATTTTAGTATTAAATGTTTGAATTGCTCTTCAAGGAAACATACATGAGAACTTTTTTTCCCATCCTAGTGGGTGTCTTTTCTTTTCCCCTCTTTTTTTTTTTTTTTATGAATGTCATTCATATGCACCCTCATTGCTTACTCTACCAAAACATTTTTTTAAAGTTTCATGAGTGTGTATTAATACAATAGCATACATTTTGTTTTCAGATTCTTGCCAGCTCTCATTACTGCAGTTTTGACCAATCATCTTGCCTGGGTTCCAACAGTCATGCCAAATGGACAGCCACCTATAAAAATATTTTTAGAAAAACATTCCTCTCAGAGTGTGGACATGTTGGCAAAAACTCATCCATATAACCCTCTTTGGGCACAACTTGGTATGTAGTCTGAACATTTTATATTGTTTATAAACTTAAGACTTACTTGTAAGCAAAAACTAAATATAGTCCTTTCTTTTGTCAGTTTTATTCTAAATGTCTCTCTGATAACCTGCCCTTTAATGTCTGTTAAATTGTCCTGTTGTCTTATGCCTGCTCCCATTCCTTAGAGCTAAAGAACTGTGGGTAGAGTGGAAGATGCACACTAATTGCTGCTTTAACTATTACTGACTATGGATATATGATGTCAATTTCAAATTCTGTGCTTGTTTTTGAGTACATAATTATATCTAGGGCTCTGTGAAAAGAGCATAAAGGAATGTAAAGATAGATGAATAATTGTATCTTAGTCTCAAGAGGCTAACAGCTAAATACCATAGGCAGCATGTATTTTCACAATAATGGTAATACAGTTAATAAATTTGAGTGGAATGAAAGCTGAGTGATAGTCTAGGAAGTCTAGAAAGGGGAGTTTGATCTTTGTACAGTTGAGTACCCTTGGCTGAGAAGCTTTATACTGGAAGAGATAAAGAAGACTGAGCGTGGTGCACAGTTAGGGATTCTGAACATTAAAGTATAAACTGTTGTGTATAAACTAAAGTTTAGGTAAGGGCTTTAGAGAAGAGGGTAACATTAAGAAGATGAAGCTCAGAAAGTCAGGTGGGAGCTGCCATGATAGACTCACCAGGCCAGAGCAGTCTCAGTTTGTTGGATATTTATTGAGGATTGGGAGGATTATTTTGGAATGGTGATGCTCTGATATTTGAGCCAGTTTATTAGCCAGAGAACATTTACCACAATCCTTTCTCAGCATATATTTACTTAAGATTCATGTTTGTCCTTTCAAAAAGTTTTACAACATGAAAATAGAGGTTTTTAAATAGGCATATTAAAAACTTGTAAAATGGATTTATATTGATGTATTTGTATTCATTTTTGAGTTCTTGTTTTGCACTTGGGTCAGAGGTTTGCTTTGAACCATAGTACATATACAAAAATGTGTGATATGACTCCTTTTATTGTACTCTATGTTACCACTGTCCCTCTTCCTTTCATGCCTGCAGCAGATATTGTGCTTTCTCCTTTCTGCATTTGACTATGGCCTCCTTTATAACAGACTTCACCAAATAAAGGTCCTTTGTATGACTCTAGTGTAGAGAATAGTCTTAGTAGGTTTGACTTTGAGAACTGACTCTTTGAGGTTTTAAAACCACAGTAGCTTTTCAAGAACACAGCTAGAAAAGCCCCTCTATTCACCTTTCTCCCTGGTTAAAACCGCTCTTTTTTACCCTACTTTCTTGAATAGCAAGTCATATTTTAAAGAACTTAAGAGTAAAATTTGAAATTGTATACGAATGTTTCTCATAATTGAAAGCCTGCGTAGCTATGTGTTTATTAACTGGTTGTTTTATTGCAGGAGATTTATATGGCGCTATTGGTTCTCCTGTACGGTTAGCAAGAACTGTGGTAGTTGGCAAACGACAAGACCTTGTCCAGAGGCTGCTTTATTTTCTTACTTACTTCATAAGATGCTCTGAACTTCAAGAAACCCATCTTTTAGAAAATGGAGAAGATGAAGCCATTGTTATGCCAGGCACAGTGATTACTACCACTTTAGAAAAAGGGGAAATAGAGGAATCAGAGTATGTGCTAATCACAATGCATAAAAACAAAAGCAGCTTGCTTTTTAAAGAGTCAGAAGAGACAAGAACTCCTAACTGTAACTGTAAATATTGCAGTCATCCACTCCTTGGGCAAAATATAGATAATGTGTCACAACCAGAGAGAGAAGATACTCAAGACAACTCTAAGGAATTGCTGGGAATTGCCGATGAATGCCAAAAGATTTCTCCTCCTGACTGCCAAGAAGAAAATGCTGTTGATATTAAACAGTACAGAGATAAATTAAGAACTTGCCTTGACACCAAGTTAGAGACAGTTGTTTGTACAGGATCTGCTCCAGCAGACAAATGTGTGTTGTCAGACACAGGCTTGGAGCCAACAGAAGAGTCCTGGCAGAGTAAGGAATTGCTAGATTCAGATAATCACACAGGCACAGCGATGAGATCCACAGGGATAGTTGTGGAAAAGAAACCTCCAGATAAGACTGTGCCTACTGCATTTTCCTGTGAGGTAACTCAGACAAAGGTTACTTTCTTGATTGGAGATTCTATGTCACCTGATTCAGATACTGAACTTCGGAGTCAGGCTGTGGTGGATCAGATTAATAGACATCACAGCAAACCACTGAAGGAAGACAGAGGGGTGACTGATAAGCATCAAGAAAGTAAAATAACTAAGGACCAATCTGAAGAATCTGGCACACAGAACATGGTTTCTGGAGAGTCCTGTGAGCTTCCTTGTTGGAATCATTCAGACCCAGAAAGCATGAGCTTGTTTGATGAATATTTTAATGATGATTCAATTGAAACTAGGACTATTGATGATGTTCCTGTTAAAACAAGTACAGATAGTAAAGAGTATTGCTGTATGTTAGAGTTCCCCAAAAGATTGTATGCAAAAAATAACAAACAGAAAAGTGAATTTTGTAAATGTATAGAAACAGTTCATCAAGATTCATGTAATGCCTGCTTTCCTCAGCAGGACCAAAGAGATACCCTCTCTATTCTTGTCCCCCATGGGGATAAAGAGAGTTCAGAGAAAAAAAATGCTATAGGAACTGAATGGGACATTCCAAGAAATGAAAGTTCAGATAGTGCCCTTGGAGATAGCGAGAGTGAAGACACGGGTCCTGATATAAGGAGACAAGTTGGCAGTTACTGTGGAGGGGAACAGGAAGACTGGGCAGAGGAAGATGAAATACCTTTTCCTGGGTAAGTACAAAGTTTCCACCTGGCGCAACCCCTTTTGAAGCATGCACTTTCTTTTGTTTAGCCAGTCTCTAGAAAATGACAACAACTTTCAAAAGAGCTTAGGGCTCCAAGATGGCTATGCCATAAAAAGCACCTGTCTTATGAAACCTGATGATCTGAGTTTGATCCCAAAACCTACAGTAGAGAGAACTGACTCCCAAGGATTGTCCACTGACTTCATGCACCTACATGCAAAATAATAATTAATAAAATAATTTTTAATGTCATTATGGTGGTCAGATTCTCTTTTACTCATAGGGCGAACTAAAGGCTTTTCCTCACATCATCCCTTTGTGAAGGCATCAGAGAGACATTAAAAAATATAAGTGAAGCCTAGGGCATACGTGTTTAATCCCAGCACTTGGGAGGCAAAGACAGGCAGATTTCTGTGAGTTCAAGGCCACCCTGTCTACAGAACTAGTTCTAGGACAGGCTCCAAAGCTATACAAGCTCCGAGAAACTCGGAGAAACTCTCGGAGGGGGGAAGAGAGGGAATACACACACACACATATATATGTATGTGTATATATATGTGAAGTATAGCAAATTGGTCTCTAGTTAGTTTTCAAACCATTTTGAAGTGAGTTATGCATATTTATACCCCAAAGTGGACCTATGGCAAGCCTGGCACTTAGGGAGAATCTTTGAGGTAGTAGGGAATAAATAAATTTAGCTAAGATATAGAGGAAATATGTATTTGAGGTTAAGTATGCAAAGAGAAAATCCCTGCTTTGGAATGTTACAGACCATATTTTTAGCTACTTTGTTTTACACAGTGATTTTCATAATCTCATTGTTTTAGAAATGTGTTACAAATGTTTATAAAGGATAGCCTCTTGAAGTCTGCTATAAAAGAGTAATGCTGTTCTTCAGACCTCCTCCAGGAGAGAACAATATTTTGTGGTCTGTTTTACTGCTTAGGCCAGCCAATATATAAGGTTAATTTTACTTCATTTATAGTTTACAAAAAGCAAGAGTACTGGCAAGACAGAGTAGTAGATTTCATAACCTTCCCCACCCCATCTTCTGCCACTGGTAAAGATGTTTATTATTTAACTAGAATTCCCTCCTCGGTCATCTTTCTTTCAGGTCAAAGTTAATTGAAGTGAGTGCTGTTCAGCCCAACATTGCCAACTTTGGAAGATCCTTGCTGGGTGGCTACTGTTCATCTTATGTTCCTGACTTTGTTCTTCAAGGAATTGGAAGTGATGAGAAGCTTCGTCAGTGCCTGGTATCAGATTTGTCTCATGCTGTACAGGTGAGATACCTTACAGTTTCTGAATATATTTAAAGGAAACTCTATTACAACCCAGAATTCCTTGTATTTTAGTTTTAGCTGAGCTGTGACCATATAACATAGTCACTGTTCTCTGAATTCATCACTTAATGTATAGCAACTGTGTCATTGTATTTACCAACATGAAGAAGACAAAAATTTAATTCTAGGAACCTACCAAATGGAAATTTGAAATATAGCATCAAAATTTTAGGTATCTAAAAGAATATTTTTCTCTTTTGTTATTGTTTTGTTTTGTTTTTTTATTTTTGTCCTTTGAAACAGGGTTTTTTTTTTTGTGTGTGTGTGTACGTGTTTTGGTTTGTTTTTTATTTTGTCTTTTGAAACAGGGTGTTGTGTGTGTGTGTGTGTGTGTGTGTGTGTGTGTGTGTGTGTTTGTCCCCTGAAATGTAATCTTTAGACTGTGCTGGCCTCAAACTCAGAGATCCACCTGCCTCTGCCTCCTAAGATCTGGGATTAAAAGTGTGTACAACCACTGCCTGGCTCAAGAGAGTATTTCTTAATTTCCTTGTCAGATTATTGCTTATATATAGAAATATAATTGATCTTTTGTGTTTATCCTTTATTCCTGAGCTCTTACTAGTTTTGTTACTTATATAGAATCCTTAGAGTTCTTACCCACGATTCATATCATCAGTGGACAGTCTTACATTTTCCATTCCTGTCTTGATTATGTTGGGTCTAATCTGTCTAGTGGAAAGAAAAAGTGACAAGATGGTATTATCTTGCTCCTTATTCCTAGGAGGAAACCATTGAGTCTTTCACTATTAGGTAGATTATTGACAAGGTTTTTTTTTTAACTTTTTTATTATTTTTATTTTAGAAGCACTCTTATTTACATATCCATCCCCCATTCCCTCGCCCTCCCATGCTCTCCCCCAACCTACCCCCACCCCGCCCCAGGGATAGTGAGGCTCTCCATGGGGGACCTTCCAGTCACATCATTTGGGGGAGGGCCCAGGTCCTCCTTTCTGTATCTGGGCTGCAATAGTATCCCTCCAAAGGGAATGGGCTCCCAAAGTACATTTGTGCTCTAGGGATATACACTGGCACAACTGTTAGAGGTCCTATAGATTGTCTTGGCCTCCTAGCTAGCACCTACATTCTGAGGGCTTGGTTCGGTCTAATGCTGATTCCCCAGCTTTATGCTCTCACTAGGTCAGGTCAGCTGTTTCTGCTGGTTTCTCCATCACACTCCTGGCTCCTTTGCTTATCCTTCCTCCCTCTCAGAAACTGGATTCCAGGAGTATAGCTCAGTGTTTAGCTGTGGATGCCTGTTTCTGCTTCGATCAGCTACTGGATGAAGGCTATAGGAATGGTAACCAAGGTAGTCATCAATCTCATTATAGGGGAAGGGCATCAATGGCATCCTCTCCACCACTGCCTAGATTCTTAGTTGGGTTCATCCCCGTGGATCCCCTGATACTTCCCCTGTGACAGACCTCTCTCCAAACCTGTACTGTCTCCCTCTATCAAGGCATCTCCTTTCTTGCCCTCCTCTATTCCTCCCCTGTCAAAGTCCTCCTGTTTTCCTCCTCCCTTCCATTCCCCCTTCTCCCTTTCCCACCTCCTTCCTGCTCCCCCCTCCCAATTTGCTCAGTGGTACTTGTCCACCTCCCCTTCTTTGAGGGACCATGCAATCTTCTCTTGGGGTCCTCCTTGCTTCCTAGCTCCTCTGGCGGTGTGGATTGTAATCCTTTGCTCTATGTCTAAAATCCATGTATGAGTGAGTACATACCAAGTTTGTCTTTTTATGACTGGGTTACGTCACTCAGAATGGTTTCTTCTAGTTCTATCCATTTGCCTGTGAATTTCAAGATTCCATTGTTTTTTTTTCCTCTGAGTAGTACTCCATTTTGTAAACGTACCACATTTTCTCTGTCCATTCTTCAGTTGAGGGGCATCTAGGTTGCTTCCAGGATCTTGCTATTACAAATAATACTGCTATGAACATAGTTGAACATATGTCCTTATTATATGAATGTGCATTCTTTGGATATATGCCCAAAAGAGGAATTGCTAGATCTTGAGGTAGACTGATTCCCATTTTCCTGAGAAATGTAGACTGATTCCCATTTTCCTGAGACCAGTGTAAGATGGTATCTCAGAGTTGTTTTGAGTTGCATTTCCCTGATGGCTAAGGATTTTGAGTACTTTCTTATATGTCTTTCAGCCATTTTAGATTCCTCTGTTGAGAATTCTCTATTTAGTTCTGCACCCCATTTTTTAATTGCATTGTTTGGTGTTTTGGTGGCTAGCTTCTTGAGTTCATTGTATATTTTGGAAACCAGCCCTTTGTCAGATGTGGGGTTGGTGTAGATCTTTTTCCATTCTGTGGGCTGCCATTTTGCCTTGCTGGCTCTGTCCTTTGCCTTACAGAAGCTTCTCAGTTTCAGGAGGTCCCACTGATTGTCAATCTCAATGCCTGTGCTACTGGTGTTATGTTCAGGAAGTGGTCTCCTGTACCAGTTCGTTCAAGTGTACCTCCAGGGCCATACCACCCTGAACACCCCCGATCTTGTCTGATCTTGGAAGCTAAACAGGGTTGGGCCTGATTAGTATTTGGATGGGAAACAAGGTTCTTGTAAATAGATACTTAGGAGGAAACCATTGAGTCTTTCACTATTAGGTAGATTATTAATAGGTTTTTTGTAGGTAGATGCCCTTTGCAGCTGTGGAAACACCTTCTAAGTCATTGGCTTCTTGTGGTGGTGATGGTGTTTGTTTACTCATTTTTGTTGTGCTGGTAGTTTGAGGGTTTGATTAGTTTTGATTTTTTGTTTTGAAACGGTATAACTGTATAGCACAAACTGACCTAAATTTTTCAATTCTTAGTCTCGAGTTTTAAAATAACAGGTATGTGCCAGCCTGCCTCATCCTCTCCAGCTTTTTTGTTTACTGCTTTTCTTCCCCACTTCTCAGTGTCATTTCTCAAAAATTTACCCAAATGCATTTACTTGGAACTTTCTCACAATGTTTCTTCCTAAGGAGCTATCCATGTTCCTCTCCTGTCTTAACCTGCAGTTCTTATGCATGTTGCAGTGTTCTCTCTTCTGTGTCTCCAGTAGTTCCTGATTAATCTGTAACTAGATTTTTATTTTATTCTTTTAAAAATATTAATAACTTCCTTGTCTACTGTCTAGGAAAGAATATTATTCAGAGTGGTTCTTCATTAACTGGGTAAAGGGGTGGACCTTGAGGATGCTAACCTTAGGATCATGTAGGAGCATATCTGGCTTAGCTGTGTAATCATTGTAATAATAAAATGAGGCCATTTACTCTTGATTTTGTTGCTCTCCTTTCTGACCAGAGGTTTTGTTTTTGTTTTTGTTTTTAAAAAATGGCCATAAGGTATGTAAATAATAAAATATAGTGAAGTATTCAGCCTTGCAGGACTATGTTACTGATAGGTATGCTGAATACTTAATTGCCATTTTTAATCCTTGACATAAAGGATTTGACTTTCCCTGAGTGAAGTCAAAAAGTACAGCCTTTTGCCTTATGTCAAGATACTAGTGTTGTTTGTTTTGTTTTTACGGTTGTTTTGTTTTTTGGCAACTTGATACAAGCTAGAATCATCTAGAAAGAAGGAACCTCAGTTAAGGAATTACTTGCATCAGATTATCATGTATGCAAGTGATATATTTTCTTGATTAATGATTGATGTGGGAAGGCACAGCCTACTTGTGAGTGGTATCACCCCTTGACATGTGGTCCTGTGTTGTATAAGAAAGCAGGTTTAGCAAGCCAGTAAGCAGTGCTCATCTATAATTTCTGCTTCAATTGCTGTCTCAATTTCCTTTCTAGACTTTTCTTCAAAATGGACTATGACTGTAAGCTGTTCCTCCCCAAACAGTTTTTGTTCTGGTTTTTATTACAGCAGTAGAAAGTCAACTAAGAGAGTCAATTACAATTTTTCACTGTTGTAATTATAAAAATACTGTGTGATAAAGCTATGAAGTAGGATAAAGATACACAGAATAGAAGAAATCCTTCATACTTTTCACAGTCCAGATTTTTGAGTATTTCCAGTCCTCCATTTTCATGTAAATGTAGATCTAAAAGCAGTAGGTATATACTAGCATGTAGAATCTAGAGCTGGGAGTAGAGTTAGAATGTAGGGAAATAGTTTTCATTTTTCAGTGTGTGTTGGTAAGTCAGGTTAAGGCATGTGGACATGTTCTACTTTAAGCATGTAACTATGTCCTGGGAAAATAGAAAAGTTAATAATATACAGAGGCAATGATTTATTGTTTCATGGCATCATCAGATCACTCTGGATTCTGAGGCATGTTAATGGCTGATACCACAGAATTTTACTATTATCTCATTTGTACAAATACGTTTCTGTCAAAAAGAAAGAAAAAAGTCTGTCTTATTTTGAAACCTTTCTAAACTAAGAACTGTTTTCTGCTTGTCTGTTACACGTTTGTGAGTGATTGATCAAAAAGTCTTGCGAACATTAAATTCTAGATTTAAGGATACAAAGATTTATTAGTGAATGTAAAGCATGTGTGATAATAGCTATAAAATACTTCAATGTATTTGTTACTAATCCATTTTCTATCGAGGGTTCATTGGTAATACTGATACTGTAAGTTATATTTTTTCTACTTTTTAAAATTAATTTACTTGTACTTTCATTACTTTTGAAAACTTTATCATATACTGAATTCTTCTTTTCAGCATCCAGTGTTGGATGAACCAATAGCAGAAGCTGTCTGTATAATTGCTGATATGGACAAATGGACTGTTCAGATCGCTAGCAGTCAGAGACGAGTGACAGATAATAAATTGGGAAAGGAGGTGTTGGTTTCTAGTCTTGTTTCCAACCTGCTTCATTCCACTCTTCAGCTTTATAAACATAACTTGTCTCCAAACTTTGTAAGTATATGCAAGGCCTCATACTTGCTGAGTACTTAGTGAACTTGCTAAGTGAACTAGGCTAAGAGTACTGTGCTAAGTGAACTTGGCTTACTATGTACACACTAAATATTCTTACTAGCTTTTAGCACTGCTTTGCTGAAAGAGGTATTACAATGAATGTTTATCCTCTTCCACTTTCAACCATTGTGGAGATAGAATCTAGAGCTGGGATATTTTGGAGGGTTAGATTAGATTGTTAATTAAGGTTGTTTAAGTCTTGAGTGTTGGTTCACGTGAGACTTACTAGAGGTCTACTAAGGAAGAAAGATTGAGATTGTTTTGTCTCCATCCTGTGAGAATACAGTGAGAAAGCAGCTGTCCATCATCCAGAAAAAGACCTCACTAGAACCCAGTAGTGCATGTACCCAGATAATAGATTTCTCCATTTCAGGAATATGAGATGATCTATCACTGAGTCTATCTGTGAGCGAAGAAAGAAAGGGATGCACTTAAATCTGTGCACTCTGATTTCAGCAGCCAGACTTTTTGATCACATGAAGTATGTCCATGCAGTACTCCCGGTTTGTGTAGGATGTCATCATCTTATCAGGATTTTAAGTAATTCCACTTTGTGACAGTAACAGCCTCTTGGTGCCTTCTCCCACTTTCAGGGCTCATTCTTTCTCATGGTAAGAGAACTGTAAAATAAAGTTCTCAGAAATTCTCATATCAGTGTGATAAACACCCAACAGCACTGCTCAGTGTCATAAGACTGAAAGTGTCTCCCATGATTAATAATAAAGAAACCTTCTTTCACCACCTTAACTCCAGCACAATACTTAAATCCTAGCCAGAACAACTAAGCAAAAACAGAAACAAAGTACTTCAGAATTGGAAAGTAAGATAGACTATTTCTATTTGCAGATGATATAATTTTGCAGATGATATGATCTAAAAAACATGTATTTCATGAGAAAAATTGATAGAATTTGAAGCAGGAAAAAAATGTAAAAATAAGATGTCCAATATCCTAGCTGTGAGCAAACTTAAATAAAAATTAAGCAGTTTTGAGCTGGGCATTGTGACCACACCAGTGACAGCAGGATGATGGATTCAGGGACAGCTTCAGCTACATACTG